ATTTAAATCGTTTTAATGACTTAAGTCATTTGGTAATAAGTCATTTCTCTAAAACTGACTTAAGACTAAAAATTTAAGTAATTTTCAAAATGATTTGTGACTTAAATATTTTTTTCAAAATAGAAAAAACTTAAGTCATTTATAAATCAGTACATACGATTTAAGTCAGATAGAAACGATTTAAGTCAAAAAAAGATTTAAGTCTTTTTGAAAAAGATTTAAGTCTTTTTAGAAAATATTTAAGTCAGATTTTTCATATATTTTTTTATAAATTTTTAACAGCGGCATTTTCTTTTGAACTGCCAGAGGTTCACGCGGCAGCAGATCAAAAACTCCTTTAATTTCCTACCTACAATTGCTACCGCTAGTGGATAAAAAAACCGCCGCGGTAAAGTTAGCTTTTTGGAACCGTTTGACGGCTACATTAAAAAATGTCCTGTCTAAAATGAATTAAAAAAAGTGGGGATTCATAATTTTGTTTGCCAACATTCGTCATGTTTGTGCGTATTTATGTCTAATTTGTGATTATTAGTGCAAAGTGAGAACAATCTGAGCGGTCGTGAATCGAGAGTTTGGAACTTCCCATCATTACTCCCTTAAGGGAGGAATATTTTTTTTCTAAATGGATGTTGAACCAGCTAACAAAAGTTAACAAAACAACAAGTTATCAGTTTTTGAAATACAGCGATTTTAAGAAAAATGCTTCAACTTTTATCTATTTTAACAGAGTTTGAATCTATTACCGTTTAGAAGTTACCCATTTATGTATATAAAAAGTAGCCTCCCTGTATGTCTACTCTACTTAAAAAGGTGGTTTAAGTTTTTATTTTTATTGTCTAATATATACTCAAAAAACGTGTTTTAAGTTTTTATTTTGTTTGTAAGTGTTCTGAAAATAAATCGTTTTAAATTCTTAACAGAGTTAGTGGTTTATTATCATCTGTATCTACAATAGATTAATAATATCAGTATCATTAAGTAATACCATACAATTATTATTAACATTTAAAAAATCGTTGTATTGTAATTATTTTGATTTAAATCACAATTTTTGATTCAAGTCATTTTATTGACTTAACTCTTAGATCACGATTTAAATAAAAAATATAGACTTAAGTCATAAAAACGACTTACTAAAGGAATTAAGTCATTAGATGACTTAAATCACTTTATATTGATTTAAGAATTTGCGAAAATGACTTGACTTGAAAGAAAATGATTTAATTCAAAGACTTAATACTTAAATCATTTGAGTTTTATCTTATAATTGACTTAAGATTTAAATCATTTTGATTTTAGAATTGACTTAAGACTTAAGATTTAAGTCTTTTTAAAACTGACTTGTTGCAGCTCTGATCTGCAACCAATTAGTCTTTGCTGTCACCTTTTTGCAAAATTAATGTAGTTTGATACATCAATGATTTAATGAAATTTCGCCAAAATCGAAAACGATTTTATTTTTAGGTGGGAACACTTGTTGTGTTTTGCCCTATATATAACACATCTCTGTACTTATAAACTGCTACAAGGTTCCGACGATGAACTTACACAAACTAAAAATTTACTACTGCTTAGTTTACAAAATAATGTAATTTTTGATATACTTTTGCAAGATTTTTCTTTTTAATTCAGTGCTACTGACCCTTCCATTTTTCTGCTATTCTTCATTGTTGCAAATTTATATCATTTTTTTAATAAACAAAAGACCTTCTGGGACGCTTGCAATTTAAAAACGGTTTCAATTTTTTTGTGCCTTTTGGTTAATGATTAATAATAATTATTAAGGAATTAATGCAATTAACAATTATTATTTATTTCTTAACTTCATCTGAAATTTTTATCAATTTTTGACAACATATTGATGAGTAGATACAGGGTGTTTCTTTTAACTTGAGACAGCTCAATATCTCGAGAAATACCTATGCATTTCACGGAAAAATGTCTTAAATAAAAGGTTAATGTGACCAAAGGGGACATTATTTGGTGCTACCGCTAGCCACCCCCTACCCCTCCTTAAGGGTGAAACGGGGAGTAACTTTGGAAAGTCAAAAGGGATGACCCGATTTTTTTCACAGATTTTGGTAGTACATAAAAAAATGAATAACTTTTATTTGAAAGTTTTTTTCAATTTATCAACAGATGGCGCTGTAATTCAAAATTTAAGAAAAAGGGGTTTCCTTGTAAAATGTATACATTTTACAAGGAAACCCCTTTTTCTTAAATTTTGAATTACAGCGCCATCTGTTGATAAATTGAAAAAAACTTTCAAATAAAAGTTATTCATGAAACGTTTGAAAAACAAAAATTAACATTAAATTAACAATAGTGGGGTCTGAAAACAATTTATAACAAATGTTCGAAATGTCGTCCTTCCATTTCGACACCGTGGAGCACCAGCGTCCCTGGTCGGTAAACGTTTGGTGCGGTACCTTAAGCGAACGATTAATCGGACCCTTCTTTATTGACGGTGCATTAAATGGCGAAAAGTACCGGAATTTTTTTAGAAAACGATCTGACGGACCTTTTGGAGGATGTACCACTAGCACGGCTCCAAAACATGTGGTACCAGCAAGATGGTTGTCCTGCACAGGGCCGAGCCGTGCCGGGGGTGCAAGGGGTGCATGGCACCCGGGCGGCACTAACACAGGGCGGCAAAATATCATCAAAAAAATTGTATCATATTATCAAGAATAAAAAAGCCACCTTACAATATGCAAAAAACTTTCTAAAAATCACTTGCGTTTTATTGATGTCGGCGTTTCAAGGAATCATCGTTTTTATTATACACATAAAAACAATGCCAAAATTGTGCTGTCAGGCGGCAATGATAAAAAAGACATAACCGAATGCGCGATAGCCACAAAAAATGATGATGACTTTTCTTAAAGCCCGGTTTATAGATTGCCGCCCGCCCGCTTCGCTTTCCGTCCGTCCGCTTCGAGTTCGTCAAGTTTCATGTTTTCCGGAAGCGGGCGCTGTGTACCACGTGATACTGTTTACAAGCTAAACTGCTAAGTTAAAGCAAAATTTCTTCCGATTTGACGGCTGCGTATTTCAGCAATTTTTAGTTTTTCTATTAACGTGAGGCAAATAGGATGCAAACATAGTAGTTTCTTTTGTCTTTTAATGCGTTTAAGTTAAAAACTAGTTAATGATTTAAAAGGCATCTTTCCGAATTTATTTGTAGCTTTAAGAATATTTTTGACGATGCCAGTTACTGTTGCCCATGGAGAGCGGTCATTTTCGAAATTAAAACTAATTAAGACCTATTTAAGATCCAATATGAGTCAATTCAGGCTTTCAAATTTAGCAATTATAAGTATTGAAGAAGATATTTCTAACAACTTGGATGTAGGCGACTTGATTAGGGAATTTGCTATTAAAAAAGCGAGAAAATTAGATTTTAGTTTTTTAGTTTAGTTTAATTATTTTTGTTTTTTTTTCCTGAATGTATTTTTATTTTATTCTTTTATGTATTTGTTAATAAATACTTTGTTATTTTACTATATGTTTATTGAGAATGATAAATTATGAACTTCTTCCCTACCGACAACCTAATTTTTTACATTAATGGGGGCGGCAAATTTAATCCTTGCACCCGGGCGGCAGTTACCCTAGGCTCGGCCCTGGTCCTGCACATTATTCGGCAAGTGCTCGAGAGGTGTTGGATCGGGAGTTCAATGGCCGGTGCACCGTGGTGGATCGGTAGACGTGGATCAGTAATTTGGCCTGCTCAATCACCTGATCTTACGCCACCAGACTTCTTCCAGTGGGGTTACTTGAAAGAAAAAGTTTACGCTACAATTCCTACAACTTGGGAGGACATGGTGGAGCGGATCAGGAACGCCTGTGCGGCGATACCGCCCGACATGTTGGCGCGTTGTGTGCCAGAATTCATTACCCGCATTCAAAAATGTGTTGAAATGGAATGACGACATTTCGAACATTTGTTATAAATTGTTTTCATAGCCGACTATTGTTTTTAATGTTAATTTTTTGTTTTTCAAACGTTTCAAATAATACATTTTACAAGGAAACTCATTTTTCTTAAATTTTGAATTACAGCGCCATCTGTTGATAAATTGAAAAAAGTTTTAAATAAAAGTTATTTATTTTTTTATGTACTACCAAACTCTGTGAAAAAAATCGGGTCATTCCATTTGACTTTCCAAAGTTACCCCCCGTTTCACCCTTAAGGAGGGGTAGGGGGTGGCTAGCGGTAGCACCAAATAATGTCCCCTTTAGTCACATTAACCTTTTATTCAAGACATTTTTCCGTGAAATGCGTATTTCTCGAGATATTGAGCTGTCTCAAGTTAAAAGAAACACCCTGTATATATTTATATACTTATATCTAATTTTATATACTTATATCTAATTTTATATACTTATATCTAATTTTCTTTTCAATGTCGAATCCTCTACTACTTATAACATTTAAATTGTAATAAAATGTGATAAGTTGTTTAAAAAACGAAAAAAGTGTTACTCAAAATTTAAATTTATTTCGCCTATAAAAGTTTTATTTACACAAAAATTATACCTACAGTTTAATATTGTGTAATCTTCCAAAATAAAATTCCTAAATGTTTTAGTGACATTCATTTAATTGCTTTTGGCATTTAAAATATTTATATATTAGTTTTCATTTTAATGTTTTATTTATATGTAGGTATTAGTAAGAATATAAAGCTATTTTTCTATATACCTACTTTACATTTACATACATATGTGCAAAATGATTATTTGGAATCTTATGATTCATAAAATATATAAATTTATTGGGTAAATGCTGTTTGCCTCCAATTTAATACAAAAATGACTCAGAATGTATTTACATAATTTATCTTAGATCATCAATTATATTTTTACTTGCAAACTAAATTATGAATTAATGTATACTGTTAACAGTGAATTTAAAGTAGGTAGTAATAATTTGATAGGTAATTACACATTTTAAGGCAATAAGCGTAAAAACAAATTTACTTATGCACACATACCTGATGCTTTGGAAACCGTATCACTTTCATTTTTAGCAACCAAATTTTCTTTACTCCCAGTGCTATTAATGCTGGAGGGTGTTTTAATTTCTTCCACAAAATTAGAGGGAAAAACCCCTTCTTTGCCATCTAAAAACCCTCTCCACCAACCCTCTTCCTCCTCACCCAATATTTTAATTACATCTCCTACTTTTAGAGTCAGCTCATCTTCATGATCTTGATTGTAACTAAAAACCACCCTGCATGTTCGTATTCTGTTTACATCGGCCTTATTCCTTAGCACAACTTGGGGAGCAGGGCTTAAAACCTTTACAAAATTATCTGGAAACATTCCTTTCTTATCATTTAACACACCCTCCCACCAACCTCCCTGTTTCTTTGCTACATCCTTTATTATATCGCCTTTTTTTATTGTTAACTCATCATATTCTTTTGCAACATAATCATGCTCAACTAATACTTCAACTAAAATAAAAATCAATTTAGCATCAATAATTTTATTCCATTCTGTAACTAAATTTACCCATATTAGTCCAAAATACACTTTCATACTTTTCTCACATTAATCCAGATTGTTTTAAATTTTATAATGCCCAACCCTGATGATCACAACAAAAGTTTTGCTATTATTTGGATACAACCAAGAAGTCTAAATACAGGAGGAGTAATTTGCTAGGTAGGGGCACGCCAAAAAACGTACTATGCTGAGTATATAGTAGACAGCATAGTTTAGAACACAAAATATACAATGCATTTATTACATATGCATTATGTTCCACACCCATAATTATAATTAAGGTTATCTATCTATTAGTTTAACGCTAATTTTGTATTAATTTCCATGATAGTGCTATCACGTCAATGATACTGACGTACTATTATAGTTAGGGTTGCCAGTTTCTGTCAAAAAAATAAAGTAAATTTAATGATCAACAATTCTTAGGTATCGTCAAATTCACAATTTGCATTGTTTTATTACTGTATTACTGTATTATTTTTGTAATTATTGTAAATTCTCGCAAAATGTACTTTATGTTTTTGACAAAATCTAATCATAGTACTATCATAAGTACGACTGATTCACTGAAGGTTACTATAGTTGGGTTACTACTGAATCAGATTCAGTAGTAACCCAACTATAGTAACCTTATAAGGTTACCTAAGGATTTTAAACATTGTTAATTACACTGCTGGTATTGGATGATAGCTATGCACGGTAAGCACTATGCGCATCTGTAGTCTTTCCTTTGCACGATATTTGACGAAATTATTATTATTAGTTATTTGGCTTATGCCTAGTGATCGAGAGTTACTCCTCCTTTATTAGGTCTTCTTGGTTACAACATACCAAATTAGTATTACCAATTTCTAGTTATAGAAAAAACTCCCTAGACAAATGTCATAAATGCAACGATGCCAGTTTTTTAAACAATTTATTTTTAAAACATACTTTATAGTAAGATCAAAATTATAAATTATAATAAGAGAGTTACAAAATATTAATATAATAAAATAAGAAAGTATATATATATACAATTTTAAAGTTAATCTTATGGAATTCAGCCTAAAAAAGTGTGGAATGTTGGTTGCCTAGTTTCAGGCGGAATTTTTATAATTTGTACTTTTCTAATATACTTACCTACCTACACCTTTTATTAAAAATGTCCCAGTAGGCTAAAGGGACATTTTGATCAATGGGCGGTATTTTTAAATGTATTAAAATTTATAAAAAAATTCAAAAATGAGTATTATTACTATAACAAGCACAAAAGCAAACTTTATACCAAAAAAATGTATTTTCTTTTCGTTTTTGTGCATAATTAACTAAAAAATCATAAAATAAACTTTAGGACAAAGAACGAAAATTTGTTTGTAGAGTCGTGTAATTATACAAGGTGTCCCTAAACTTAGTGGCATAAATTTAGGAGCAGATTAAGCAAGTCAAAGTAAGACAAAATCTAAATAAATATTTTTCCTAATTACGTATGTTTAAAAGATACAAGGTGATAAAGTTTTACTTATCATATCAGTTTTTTTAATATAGGTAACTTCTACTATGGTAGACTTGAAAAGGTGATATTTTGCGAACAGTCACTTACTACCAAAACACATATTCACACATAATTACAATTGTTCGAGTAAACACAGTGTCGTAGGGGTTGCTTAAGCTTATTGTCCCATACAAACTTTGATGTTAGGTTTTTATAGCATTTGATGCAATTTTTCGATTACTCATGAGCTGGCCAAATAGCTTTTAAATTAGCTAAAGGCTAAACTTTTGAAGAAGAAGAATTTTTCGATTACTCAGTTCGGCTACTCTTTAAAAGGTGTACCTCTCAAACTTCGATAAAATAAAACGTTTCCGAGATATTCGAGATTACAATAATTGTTATATCGCATATTAAATTAATTATTAAGGTATTTGATAACAAATTTTTTAATTGAAAAAACTACAATTTTTTTAAAGTGACGGTCAGGGCAAAAATTCCCGAGTCTCATGGTCCATGAGAATTTTTCCATGAGTCATGGAATGCCATGAGTCATGGAATGCCCTTTTTAGTTTTTTCAATAAAAAATAAAATTTGTTATCATATACCTACATACCTTTTAATCCTTTTGAATAATGCGATATAACAATTATTGTAATCTCGAATATTTTGGAAACGGTTTATTTTATCGAAGTTTGAGAGATACACCTTTTTAATGGCCGGTAGCCGAACTGAGTAATTGAAAAATTGCATCAAATGTTATAAAAACCTAACCACAAAGTTTGTATAGGACAATAGGCGTAAAGCAACCCCCTTTTCTACGACACTGTGTTCACTCAAACAATTATAATTATGTGTGAATATGTGTTTTGGTAGTAATTACTTACTTACACTTAAGTGACTGCAAAATATCACCTTTCCAAGACTACCATAGAAGAGGTTATATTAAAAAAACTGATATGATAAATAACACTTTATCATCCTGTATCTTGGAAACAAAAGTAATTAGGAAAAATATTTATTTGGGTTTTAGTCTTATTTTGACTTGCTCAATCTTTTCCTAAATTTATGCCAATAAGTTTAGGGACACATAATTGTAAATTATAATTACATATACTTGTAAATTATAATTGTATATAATTAAATAAAATTCCATATTTAAAAAAATATATTTTATATAGAATTATATATAATTATATATGAATTAGGTATATACGAGGTGTGTTCAGAAAATAACGGGAGTTGTTAAATTTCGCGGGTTCGGAGGGTCCGGTTGTCATACAATTTTTTTTATTATGTTGGTATACATGCCCCCGAAGTATGATAAAAACTTTAGCTGTTTTTATTCAGGGCTGGATGCTCCCGTGTACGAGTTTTGGTTCGTCCCACGCATGACGTCACTTGATGAGTAGTTGCCGTGAGAATACACGAATAATAGTAATATTATCAAAGAAAATAGAGAAATATCTAGACATAGTGCGTTTTTATTAAACTTAATATTGAAGAAAGTGTTATAATATGGATATGGATATGGATAACATCTAGGGCTGTAGTTTAAGCGTTGGTGTTTTAAATTAAACTTATAGTCACTGTCCAGAAAATGTTTATAGGAAACAGAAGCGGTCTTAACGTTAATATTGTCTATTCTTTTTGTGGCATTTAAACACTGTTTCCACAAATCAAACTTTTTCGGGAATCGATTAAATTTAATGTTTTTATTTAAAGGGTTTTTCTTGGACTGGTTGTTCGAATTGCATCCAAATATGCCACACCGCATTTTAATAAATGCAAATGGCACGACACAAACTAAAACACAAACAAAACAAGTTAACGCAACTCAAAAACAATAATAAACAAACAGAACAGGTTAACACAACGCAATAACAATAATTTGAACACTAAAAAGTAATTAGAACCTTACCGAACACAAAAACAACAAGTTAAACAAAAAATAGAGCAAGTTAACATCCAAAAGTATCGCAAAAACAAGAATTCTGTGGGTAAAAGGCATAAGGGGATAAGTCAAAACAATCAATTTTTTAGTAGTGCCTTAAACGTGTTCGCATTAATTTAGGAAATACATTTATGGTTAGCGGGTATATCCTTTTGCCAGCACATGTCATATGCTAGCAAAAGGGTATACTCGCTAACCATAAATATATTTCCTGAATTAATGCGAACACGTTTGAGTCTCTACCGAAAAATTGCTTTTTTGACTTATCCCCTTATGCCTTTTACCCACAGAATTTTAGCAGCAGATAATTAAAAAGTCATCAAGTGACGTATTTAGGCCCCGCCCAACATGCGCACCATCCTATCTTAAGGTGTATATACACCAAGATACATATGTATCTTGGTTTTCATTGTTTACTTTGTCTGTGGCAGCCGCTAATGTTGGACGTGTTTTATGAGCTTGGCGATTTTCGTTCGTTAAAAGAAATGGATCAAACGATTTGTATCCAATTTTGCTTAAAAAATTAAATAAATTCTGTGAAATGTTAACAAAGGCCTATAGTGAGTCTGCTATAAGTAAAACAAGAGTTTACAAGTGGTATAAGAGTTTCCAAGATGGCCGTGAAGACGTTGATGATGACGAACGCCCCGAACGCACAAGCATATTAAGAACCGATAAAAACATGGAAAAAGTGGAAGAAATGGTTATAAACCTTCAGAGAAGTCGCTGATGATGTTGGGATATCAATTGGCTCATCCCATGAAATTTTTTTAATGTTTTGGGTATGAAACGCGTGGCAGCAAAATTTGTTCCAAAATAGTTAAATTTTGAACAAAATTTTTGGCCAAAAACAATACTATAATGATGCCCCAGCCTCCATATTCGCCAGACATGCCTCTGTCTAACTTTTTCCTATTCCCAAAAATAAAGAGAACCTTAAAGGGCCGTCGTTTTGCAAGCATAAATGACATTAAAAGCGCATCGCTGAAAGAACTAAAGGCTATCCCAAAGATCGAGTTTTAGAAGTGTTTCGAGTATTGGAAGAAGAGCTGGCACATGTGCTTAATATCCAATGGGGACTATTTTGAAGGCGACAACATTAATGTAGACGAATAAATAAATATTTGTTTCAAAAAACGAAAATTCCCGATATTTTCATAACACACCTCGTATAACTTTATATAAATTTTATATAATGAGACCTACACAATTAGATAAAATCTTTTTTTATCGGGTTAATGGGAGTTAAACTATATCCTGAAAAAAACAGGGGTAGCGAAATTTAGAACCACATTGGTGCATACACTTTAAGTATAAATTTGACAAGCTCTTTAAGTTGTGACGTTAATTTTTCAGTTTCAGCATAGAGGCGAAGTACCCGATTTGCCAAAATAAGCCATCTTGAATGAGCTAGCTTCCCAGGATTAAGATTTGCTAAATTTTTACTAAAATGTCCACTCGATTTTGCGTGGCAAATATCGTATATATATGACTTAAATTGTTTGAAGGAAGCTGTTCGCATTATTCTAGCCTTTCCGATGTCACCAGAAAATTGTCGAGGCCCTGCTGTGCTTCCATCTAAATGTTGAAATAAATGCCTTAAAAGTAACTCGTTGGCATGAAATTGACAGACAAACCATTGTACACAATGGTCCTCTATACTGCCTCTCCTACTATGGAGAAAGGCAGTAACTACAAAAAAATTCTAA